CAATATATCATGAGTCCAGCTTTTAGCCAGCTTTTCATAATCAGTGATGCATTGCCAACAGCTCGCAGCTGACAATGTGGACAGCAACGATGCAGGAACAGCGCGAAAAACGACTGCAATGCTCCAAGCATGACATTGCTGTTGTTGTCCAATGGTGCTGCTGCTGTTGCTGCTGTTGCTGCTGTTGTTGTTGACATAAATCCATATTTTGTTCAGCAAATTCCACGATTGGCCACAACAACAATAGCAGCCGAAGTTCGCTCAACACGTGGAAAGCTAGCAAATTGCTAAAATTTTCCAATTAACTTTCAAGTTCAAGAAGCAGCAGTAGCAGGAGCACGAGCAGCAGCAGCAGGTAGCTGCTGTCACCTTTTGCGAGCTGCTATAGACAAAACTTGCATAAATCCCATTTGCAGCGGCTCACGTTGAAGATGACAAAATATTCAACGTCATATGGTTATAGCTAGTGCAGCTGGCTGTGGATAAGAGTGGGTGGACGTGTGTGTGTGGGTGGTTGTATATGTGTGTGTGTGTGTGGTTGTATGTGTGTGTGTGTGTGGTTGTGGATGATATGTGTTTGTGCTTGGCTGGTCCATCATTCTTCATTTACTGACCCGACACCAACAACGTTGTCAGCAGCTGGCAATGGCAGCAGAAGCAAACAACATCATCATCATTACGACGATCATCATCGATGTGGATATGGATGCGTTGGTTATTGTTGTTGTTGCTGTGGTTACTATGACCTCCCCAATCCCCTGGATGCTCATGATGAGCGTGCAAAGATAACCATGACGCATTAACTTGCCTTAACGTGGCAACGCATGCGAATGGCAAACAAAGCGCGACAGGCGAGCAAACAAACAAAATGACAGAAAGACAGCGACAGCCAGAATGGGGGGACAGTCAGAGAGTCAGACAATCAGAGAGTCAGACAATCAGAGTGTCAGACAGTACAGAACAGACAGCGGGACAGACACGAGCCATGGATAAGTCAACAATTTCAGCGTTTGCCTGGGGTCAGGACATTGCACCGCATGCAACATTTGGTCGCAGTCCATCCGACCCGTTGGCTGCACCGGCTCAGCTCAAGTGTTGCAAAACGCCAAAAGGACAAATCTGTAGAGCGTGCTAACAGTGCTAAGCTCAGTTGTACTTAAAGCTGTTGTTATTGTCACATATGTTTATTGTACAGTTATTGCAGCAGGCTGCACAATCTACTAGCTCATAAACAACACTGGAGATTAGCTAAATAGTTAACTGCATAATATACTGAAACAAGAAAGACTTGAGCTAAACGTATGTTGATACTTAACAGAACTGTTACTAAATTGGACAATGCTTTGATATCGATATATTGTACATAAAACTTGAAAGAAATCAGAGTTTAGATCTGAAGGCTTTGAGCACACAAAATTCGTGTTTAGAAAAGTAAAAATAATTGAAAATAAATATTTAAAGATAATTGAAAATAATTAGATATATTATTTGTATTTGCCTGTCATGGAAAATAATGAATTATTAAATATTATTAAATGATTATTATCTTTAATAGAGTCTTATACCTGATCTGATATATATTCGTTGGTATGTTTCTTTTAGAGGCTGTTATTATTTTTTGGTTACGCCGTTTAAAAGTCATCAGTAATATCAGGAATAATTATATAAATTGAAAAATCTAGCATTTATAATTTTCGAAATTAAATATAGACATTTTATGTATAAATTTCAGTAGGTATATACTATACTATAAACATATTCCCCTAAAAACTAGTGTCACGCAGATTTGCTGTGGTGGGCGTTTGGCAACTAAAAATGTTGATCTATTGAATAATAATGTATCTTAAATAAATTTATGACAGCTTAAAAACTTACGTGAATTATATATAAAACAATTTTCAAGTAGGAAACTTTTCATAAATTAACAAAAATTTTAAAAACGTATACAAAATACAGTTTATGTTGATGGGCAAGAGTAAATTTTATTTTATATTTAAATTAAATAATGAAATGTTCACCTATATTATAATTTTATTTAAAAACTTGAAGAGCCTCTTTGTGGTCTATAATCAAAATAGTTTCTTAAGTTCATGGCCATGTTTTATGAAATTTAATAATATATGATATTTATACCACAACCCTTTCAATTTTAAGTTTTAGTATTAGGCATGGATGATTAGATATTGCCTGCTCAATGTTCAGGTATCGATTTGAAATGTTGCACCACAGAAAGCTTTGCTGCAGCAGCTTTAAGTGTTGCCTACATTTGAGCGCCATGCTAATTACATAATTACAGTTATCTGCCAGTGAATGTCTGGCAAAGCCGCACAAAAAGGTAAAAAACAAAGGCCGGAAAAAACATGACCACGAACAGGAGTTGGTGTAAGCACACACACACACACAATGAGATACAGAAGCAAATAGACTCACGCACACACACAGACGCACACCTGTGGCCAGACTAATCTATCATGTGCCATAAAGCGGCGCCCGACGGTGTCGGCAGCCATTTACAGCCGTAGCCCAAAAAGCGAGCCAACAGAGCAAAGGCCGAGGGCGCCACTACTATATAAGTGGGTGGGCGGATGCACACTGACTACAGTATATCTCCGTTTATTTTTTGTTTTTTTTTTTTACTTTTATTTCATCTTTTTTTCCGTTACTTGGTCCGCTTGGCCTGATAAGCCGCATTGTGTCCGGCGAGCTGCGCACGCGGCTTTTGTGGCAGCAGCAACGTCGACGAGGACGACGGCGGCGATGACGACGGTGTCGGTTAGTGTGAGAAATGTTTATGGCTCCCCGGTGGCTAGCAGGTAGCCGTGGAGTTCAGTTGCACAGATGCTGGAAAAGAATGCAAAGCTGAAGTTGAAAGCTGTTGGAGTACGTGGCTGCTGTGAAGCGTGTGGCAGCTGGCTGTAATGGTAACTGAGACTAAGCCCCAAACGAGCCGCTAAAAGCCTTTAATGTCTGTGAGTGTGGGTGTGTGTGTGTGACAGTTTCTGTGTTTGTGTGAAAATCCTTGTGAGCTAAATTCGCATAGCGGGCGGCAACAAAACACAAAATGCTAAGCCGCTGTTAAATGTGAATGCTAATGTTAAGGAATATTAGTTTAAGGCTGCAGCTCAAAAGTATGCTATACTATATACTATATATACTATATATATATATATGCGCAACTTTAGCAGGCTACAGTATGTTAAGTGGTCTGAGCTATGTTAAGTAACATTATTTTAAGCAGCAGCCTAAGAGTATGCAATACATTGGTGATAGTAGTTCATCTGCTTACATTATGTTAGCTAACAGCCTAAATGCAAACATATAACAGTTGTGTACGTATGCGTACTGAGCGTTTCAAATTTTTGAATATGTTAAAAATTAAAATAAAAAATGTTTAAATAAAAATATAATACATAAAGTTTATGTAATGAAGATCCTGTAATTTGTTGGAATCTGTGCTTATTTCGTCGAATAAAAAAAAAAATAATAATAATTTAAATATCGAATATTATATAAGTACACCAGCGATTTGTAAACCATCATCAATCGTCATTCATGTGCCTCTATAAAACCATTAAATTTTTATTTTATTTTTGTAACTTATGATTTGTAACAAATAAATATCTGTAATTTTTTTAGTCGCTAGCAACTAAGTCTATTGCAAAAAAGTTTGAATTTTCTGCACATATAAATGAGAAATTATAATATAATCCAAAAAAAAAAGTTATGGCACTCACCGCTCGCACACTTTTGTATGCATTAAATTGATTAAAAATAAAGTGTCCCATATAAAATAAAAAATAAATAAAATAAACATTATCCTGTTTTTATATGTACATATTTATATTATTTTTTTTACTATGGTCGCACGCACCAACTACAGTCTAGTCTAGCCTACTCATTCCCTTAACTCTGAAACCTTAATAAACTTGCATGCACGTTTGCAGCCCGCACAAACATTTCGTTCAATAATATGTAAGAGTTCGCTTGGAAAGTGCAGGTGGCCGAGACTTTGTTGATACTGTCAACAAGTCAGGCCAATAAATTTTGTGCTGATTGTGGTTTTCTTCGTCGACAATAAGAACAAAGAGGAAAAGAAAACCAAGAAACCCGAGAAAACAGAAAAAGAAAATTGTTTGCTGTCAATGAATGCTAAATCGATAAGAAAAACCTAAGAATATTTGTCGTTGTCAAACTGAGCGCAAAGCAATTAGGTAAAATGGCTGTCGGCAACAAAATGTTAGGTATTGAAGTTAGAAAATATGATAAATGCAAAGCTAAATGCAAATATTGAAGATTATGCAAAGTGCAGGGAAAACAATGCAAGTAAGCCAAAGAAATTATAGGAAAAGTATTTGCACAAAAGGGATAAACAGAAAGAGGGAGCGGTGATAGAGAGAGAGGGAGAGAGGCAGAGTCTGAAATTGAATAAAGGGAATAAACTGTCCAACCAATATACAAATGGTTGGGCAAGCTATAGAGGGAGTCAGAAAGAGAGGAAGGGAGAGAGCAAAGTGCAACAAATGGAATTGGATTTGTGAGAGGAAGTATCTGTCATCTTATTTTACAGTTATAAAATAAAATATATTTTTAATTATTAGAATTAATGTATATGATAAAATATACTATGTAATAAATGTTTTTTAATTACCATAAATTAATTTTAATAGCTAAAATACTCGTATCTAAAATAAAAAATTGTAAATAAAAGTTTATCGTTTTTAAATTTGTTAGTAAAATAGACAACCAATTCTTCTTGGAAGTTTGTTGTGCCTTCATTTTTAAAAACTCTTTTCCTAATCGCATTTCCTGTTCTATAATCTGAAAAAAAAAAAAAAAAAAATTGATCAACTCAATTCTTTCTTCTAATTGACTGTTTGATCTATACTACTATACTTGGCTATACTTTTTTTTTAATAAATACATCAGTCAATAGACTCAATTATACGTACATTTATCCATAGAACCCACGAGAAAAATGTGTGAAGAAAACAAACTAAGAATTCGAAAACCGGTAAAAAGAACAAAACATCAAAACTCTTATTTAATTGCTAGTGGAAATTTGGAAGCTTTTGAACATTTCAAATTTCGAGACACGACTCGACGCGGAATGATTTCGCAATCGTGTATGATTTTTTTTTTTTGGTTAGAATTTTTTTTCAGTCTTTTTTTTTTGGAAGCTATTCAATTGAAAATTTGCTAGCACCCGGTAAAAGGGCGATGGCCGTACAAAAACGTGAAGAAAACTGTATAAATATATATGTATATAGGCGACAGACTCTCAAACATGGGTGGTCGATGTGGTGGCCGTACGATTGTTGCCCAGCTCCACATTGCTCAGCTGCTTGATCCCGGGCGGATAGGCGATGTATGGCGTTAGGGTGCGGGAACCGGTCGCCTGCAGCGATTCCCTAGAGCGCAGTGCGGCGATGGGCGGTGCCGTCAGTTGGCTAAGTGGCACGCCGGTGATGATGCGATGGTGTTCACTGAAGAACGGATGCTTGAGCGCCTCGTCGGCGGTGATGCGCTTCTGAGGATTCACTTCGAGCAGGCGGCCAAGCAGATCGTATGCCTGGGCGGGAAACATGTCCACGCCCTCGTATGCCTCCAGCGAATGGCTGCTGTGCTTGCAAAGGCAGTTGTATGTCGGCTGCTCGCAGTGACGGCACAGCTCCACATTGCCATCGGCTCGTCGATGGCGTCGCTGCACTTCCGCCGACAGGAAGTAGTTGGCATAGCGAAATCGCATGCAGACGCGTCGCAAATCCAGCGCGGCCACCTTCTGTGTGATCAGCACTAGGCGATCCAGCATGAAGGCCGTCTTGCGCACCTGCAGGTCGCCAAACAGATTCATGATCTCCGTCAGGGCGGCACAGTCGTTGGGCGCCTTAAAGAACGGATGCAGCGACGACAGCATCGACAGCATTATCACACCGGCCGCCCACACATCGACAGCGGTCGTCTGATGCGGATAGCGCAACAGCACCTCCGGCGGACGATAGCCCGGCGTGCCGGCACGCGAGGCATGCATCTCTTTGCGTGTATTGTTCGTGGACACCACATAGTTGTTGGGATCAATGTTGGGATTTATGTAGCGCAAACGGTTAACCAATCGCTGCGTGTCCGCCTTCTGTGCGGCCAAATCCTTTTTCGTCGGCTCCTGCAGCACCAGATTGGTGGACTCACCGAAAGCGGTTGTGCCACCGCCCGCCGCACGCATGCGCCGCTCCGAATCGGCTTGGAGGCGATGCGCAGCCGCTGCCTCATCCTCGGCCTGTACGCTGAAGCCGTCGTGCCGCAACAGCTGCCGCTGGGCGGCGTCCATGTCGCGCAGCAGGGCCGCCGCACCGCTGAGATCCGATGCCTGGATCAGGCTGCCATCGTCGGCCAGTCGCTGGGCCAGACCAAAGTCGCATAGCAAAAATTTACCCGTCCGTCGATTATACAATATATTGCTCGGCTTCACGTCCCGATGGATCACATTGAATTTGTGCACATGCCGCAGTGCAATCAGCAGATTCCGCAAATAGTCCTTCACCTCGAACAGGCTCAGATTGCGATAGACATCGTGGAAGCGATCGTGGCTCATGAACGGCATCACGAAGGCCACGTTGTCATTGTACCGTATACAGCAATTGATCCCGATCACATTGTGATCGCCGCCCATGCGAAACATGCACTCCAGTTCGCGCAGAATGCGCTCCGGATGATTGGTGGGATTGTGGTGTTTGATCGCAAACCGACGGCGCTGCGACTCGGGCAGCTGGCGTTCGCGCTGCAGTGTGCCCAGCAGCACCGTGGAGAAGGTGCCGCTGCCGATGCGGCAGTGCACATCGAAGATTTTCGAGATCTCCGGTATGGATGTCTGCAGCTCCTGCAGTGCCTCGGCGTTCTTGTCCTGCACCTGGAGTGCGGCTAGCTCACGGAATTTCAGCGTGTTCCGGCGTGCCATGCGCGACAGTTTATCCGTCAGATCGTTGTTTACGCGCTGCACCTGCGTCATTAGCGGCACCACTGGCATCACCTGCTGCTGTGCTGCGCCCGCCTGTTTAGTGCTGGAAACGGTAATGGCAACGCCACCGCCAACGTCCCGGCCACCCCCACCGCCACCTCCGCCGCCGCCGCCGCCGCCAACACCAGCCGTATTTGACATACCATAGCGTCCCAGCAAGCCCATGCTCGCCTCATATTTGCAATTGGCCCGCTCTCGCTCGCGCTCCTTGGCCGGCGTCTCCCTCAGGCCGGCCGCACGGCTCGCCTTCTTGGCGGCTGTTGTCGATGCTGTTGTGGCTGCTGCTGCTGCTGCCGCTGCCATGGCTGTTGTTGCGGTCGCAGTTGCTATGCCAGCTGCCACTGTTGTTAAATTCGAGCCAGAGTTCTGCTTCAGCTTCGCCTCGAGTGCCACCAGCTTGGCCTGCAGCGGATGCGTCAGCGACTTTTGTGACGAATTGCAGTGATAGGAATGCGAATGGGAATGCCCATGCGCATGCGCATTAGAATGCTGATGATGTTGGTGCTGCTGCTGCTGCTGATGTTGCTGCTGTTGATGGTGATGCAAATGCTGATGCGAGTGCGTGTGTGAATGCATGTGTGAGTGCGACTGCGATGGCGTGTGCATGTGTTGGCGTAGCTGTTGCTGCTGCTGCTGCTGCTGCTGCTGCTGCTGTTGCTGCTGCTGCTGCTGCTGCTGTAATTTTTTGTCCATTCTATCCATTAAAAATTTAGTAAACATTTGCACGTTCCATTTACAGCTGCGTTCCCTATGATAAAGGATACGTTTGTCGAGACTATACAGAGACCAATCGCTTCGGCTTCGGCTTCGGCTTCCGCTTCGGCTCTGGGTATTCGTGTCTTCACTTTGGTATGGGGAACGGCAAGGATATGATTTTTTTTTTGTTTTTGTTTTGTGGATACTTTGCGTAAGGCGCTAAGCAACTTGGCGCTTACCACAAAAACACAATAATTTCGTACGGAATTTGTGTTGGAATTTTGTGCTAGAAAATGTCGAGTTTTTTAAAATGATCAAAGACTATTCAGAAACAAATACTAAACTTTCTGATTTTGACAACAAAAACCTAGATAACAACTGTGTGTAACTGAAACTGCTACAGAGCACTATCAAGAATTCTCCTATAATAATGCCGTATATAATTCATTTTCTATACAAAGTAAACATGATTTACTAATTGCCAAAAAAAATAAATAAATAAATAAATAAAAATTGTACTCTGATTTCCCATTTTTAATGGGTTTAGGGTACAAAATCCATTGCAAAACCAAAACTAATATACTTTTTTTTTCGCCTTCAAGTAATAGCCGAGGGATATCCCAAGCGGCGTTCTTTCTTGGCATTGTGTGTGTGTGTGTGTGTGTGTTTTTTTTTTTTATATATATAAAAAAGACAGTAATATATTTACTATGCTAAGTAATTGAAACTCTATTTCTCTTTTAATAAAACACAAAATGAATTTAATAAGTAATGAATTCCTCTGCAACTCTCACATTGACCAATGTCATCCTATGTCAAGTTATTTTCTAACTCTTTACAAGTATTTATACTTCCATATAACACACGCACGCACTCACACTCACTCACGCAGCGAGTTCTATTAAATAGCTCGAGTGGCACAGCTGATGCTAGTTTTTGTAATGGCACGACTGGCGCCATCTAGCGTCAACTTTTGCCTGCAAATTACCGTTACACAGTTGACACTTAAACTGTCGCCATTTACCCAAACCGGCCCCCCCGACCGACCGCCCGCCCGCCCGCTTCACAGCGCATCGCCCCCTGGGCCTTGTCAACATCAGCTGCCTGCAGTCCAATTCTTTTTCATTTGATGTCCAAAGTTTCGGCATGCGGCAACAGCTGCCATTGTTTGGCACGCCCATCGATTCTTTGGCGGCCCCAACGTGGCAGCAACATCTTTTAGTTTTCATTTTTCCAAAAAGTTTGATGCAATGAATATATTTAAATATCGTTTGCATAACACTCGCTGTTCGGCCCAAAAAAGGTGTGAGCCGAAAGCTCTTTGCGCTCGAAATGAAATGCAAAGGAAACAAACACTCAGACGGGTCACATTATTAAATTTATATAAATCAATGAGAGGTTATATAAAATTAAATCGGGGTATATTGGTGTTCCATTTAATGTTAGCAAAAAAATAAATAAACAGAAATTGAATTTCCCTGAGAGATCTTAGTGCTCCAGCAAAAGAAATTCATGTTTATATATATATAAATAAAAGAAAATATTTTTTTAGAGTGTTTAACAGTCGATCAGTTTTCCTCTCAAAAAAATTAAGCCTATATTTATCGAAATATTAGTTCTTTAAAAAAGGAATATTTTTGAATATATAGCAAATAAAGAAAATTATTTTTGTAGAGTATTGTGCAGTCGATCAGTTTTGGTTTCTATAACATTATGCCCATATTAATCGAAATTCAATGCGCTTATTATAAAAGTTTCCAGCTGCTAGTTTCGAGTGCCAATTGCAGCTTTGACTCAACTGAAAAATACCAGCAAAATGTTCGCTGCAAATTACGACGTTCGATATTGTTGCCTAGTTTAAGGCTTTAACTGTCAGAGTTTACTGCAATACTTAGCCCACTTGGGGTGGCAACAATTGCCAATTGGTCGGGCACACAATACAATACAGTGGGGGAGCACTTGAGTCTCGACTTTTGGCTGCCACTTCCGCTGGCCGTGGGTAAACTACATCAAAGTCTTTTGGCCGAAAATTTCCTTGGCCTCTTCGTGGTAAACAGCCAAACGGTGCGAACACCAATACACACTCACACACACAAAGTTCTGTCGGCCAATTGTGAATTGGATTTATACAACAGACACTCGACTGCCGAATTGAGAAACTAGAAATACAATTAAGTACAAAGTGAATTAGCTAGACTCGCCGTTGAAGTGGGCGGCTGGGGGCTGTGGCAGGCAACAACTGTGTTGCAGAGCCAACGGAAGCGGATGAGAGGCGTGGCAGGGGCAGACGCCACGCATAGGCAGCACGCAAACTTTGCTTGTTTTGTTTGATTTCTATTCAAGCTCTTTAATAAGCTTAGGCCAAACTTCTATTAGCCAGAAAGATTTAATATAAAATGGATTAGTTTGTAGAATGCATTGAATTAAGTTTCAAAATGTATTAGTTCATTTCTGTTTGGTTTCAGTTAAGACAGGTTTCAGTCACTTAATAATACAATTAGCATGGCATTTTATTAGTTGTAATAAATGAGCAAACATTATGTAACAAAATGGAATACATTTCAAGGCCCTGAAACAAATCAGTCCTCTGATAGATATAGATATAGCCTTCTATAAATATATTTAAAAACAACATGTTTTTTAATTGAAAGTGCTAAAATCTGCTTTTAAGGTAGCTAAATGTATATAAAAATTTAAAAAATAAATAAATAAATAAAGAAATATATATCCAAAACCATTGTATGGCAAGACATTACTTTCCACCTCCAAATCAGATAAGAGGCTTCACTGCATTTTTCTTTTTTTTTCGGCATTAATGCAGGAAGATGTTTCCATATGAGCCGTGAAACTGAAATTCAGCCTCATCTGTCCTCAAAACGTTGTGCAAAAGATCTAAAGGCTTTTCAATGTACTCTAAAGCAAAACGCTTTACTTTGGTGCCAATAGAAGGCACTCTAAATCAATCAGGATATCTGCCAATATTAAATCACCATGATTTTACATCGGGAACAGACTATTTCTAGCCATTGACTGGCTACTGCAGCAAAATAATGCTCCTTGCCATAAAGGATCAATACCCACAATGTTTTTGAGGGACTTAAACTAAGCCATTCTGCCCTGGTTTTCGCAAAGTCCGGGCCTTATCAAATGAAAATGTTTGGGTAATGATGAAATCTAACAGATTATTCAACAAGGACCGAGACTAGACGATATATCAAGGAAATTTGGTCGAAATTAACAATTGACTTTGCCCGATCCTTGGTGGCATCAATTCCAGCAAGGCAACGGGCTGTAATTGAAGTAAAAGCAGGAGTAACTAAAGACAAACTTAAATAAATAAGCCCTTAGTTATATAAAACAAAAATCCAAAAGAAATAACATTAAACAATAGCAATAAACATTGTTTAAGTTTTGTGTAAATACTAAAGACGCAAAAAAAATGTGTGTAAATACTTTTGACAACCTCTAAGTAATTGTTCTTTTCGCTCTATTTATTAGCATGTACCGTTATTTTAGCAATTTCTTCAGCCGATCGCTTCTACATAGAATAGGCTTTATGTCACAAAAGCATTTTTTCAAAAACGGCGAACGTAAACAACAAAAAAAGCTCCTTAAGCAGAGCATATAGAAAAATGTTCGTTGTGTAAATACTTTTGACCACCTCTGTATATAATTAGATATATGTTATGAGTCGAATAAATGCCGCGACATATGCTAACAGCAATGCTAATGTAAATTAAAAGACGAAGTCAAAGTTAGATTATGAACAATAGCTTAAGATTGACAATTGTGTGTCTATTGACTTATAAATTGAACTCCAACAGAATGTTTGCAATTTTTTTGGTGATGCATGTTTCTGGAAAGAAATGTTTATATGTGGATGATGCATGTTGCTGAGAACGAATTTATTCTGATTGTGCTTTTATTTCGATCGCTGCCGATCGTGAGGAGAAGCGCCGGTTTGGCCGCTCTCTGTTTACAATTACCAAGCTTGGAAATGTTTACATTAGTATATTTCCATCGATGCCGATCGATGGGGGAGAAGCGTCGGCTTGGCTGCTCTTTGTTTATAATTGCCAAGTTTGGGAATATTTACATTAATTATTCGGCTATGGGAACAGCGTTTGGATATTGTGGATGTAATCACTATGATTATGTCACTATATATATTTGATGAAAATATAAATATTTCTATTTCTTGCAGATGTTTTACCAAGAAGTCAGTTCCTGCAATTACACAATTTATTTTCGCTAGTTTATACACTTAAAGGCCTCACCTGCTCTTTCTCTTCGTAAACACACACGTGAAATTCAAGACTGATTCCAGTTAAAAGAGCTTCTGCTCGAGCTGTGGCCACATTCGGCAGTGGAAATTTGACTAACCAATTCGATTTTCTTTTGGCAACTGCAGTTGCAGGATTCGCTTGTCAATCCCAACAATTGCCACCTACTTGCTTTGTGCGACGTTCACACTCTTTGCCGCCAGTCGGTGCATACATCCTGCGTCCTGTCCACAAATACACGCACACGAGAAAATATATATACATATATATATCGCACACACTCACACACACACACACACACAGAACGACTCGTTGCATGCTGATTGTTTTGCCATTTTGCGGTTTCCTTCGAGTGTGGACGCGAAGCTTGGGAGTTGTTTGCGGTGTCCACTGGCTCAACCACAGACAGAGCGAACGGATTGTATTGGCTGTGATTGCAGAGGAGTGAAATGGAATCGGTTGCATGAGCAAGAACAACAACAAGAAGAAGAAGACGTTGTTGGTGGTCACGCGATGTTGTCCTGCCTTGCTTGGGTTCTGTCTGCTGTCTGCCAAAGTCTCAAAGGATATGAACAAGTCGAATTTTTT